TTATGATCATTTGAGTTGTCCAAAACCAGTACCTAATCACTACGGTTAGTTCACTGATGAATTTTCAATGAAAACTCATGCAGCAATGCTAGGTGTGTCAATGATGGTTCCTTGATTTCAAGGAAGTGTATGATCTTCTCCAGTCACCTGCCACTTTCTACCACCAACTAATTTAAATTAAAAAATGATAAAAAATAATAGCAGGGAGCCTTGAAGGTAGGTTGAAAACTGTCTACCATGTCAGTAGCTTTTTTATCTAAACAGTCAAGAAGGCAGCAAGTCCCTCGACTTGTGTCTTCTGTTCTCTCGTTTCCTGTGTGCACCCACATGAACCACCTGCCCTCCCTGCCTCCCTGCCTCCAAGTCTAGAGAAGAAGGGAGTTGGTCTTCTCTAATTCCCCTGGTGTGCTTGACTTGTTCCCCATTACCCAAGGGCTAAGTCTTAGGCGCCGCGCTGAAACTTCCACACAGCAGGGAATCTCGGCCACTCTGTCTTCTGTCTGTCCTCCCTCATGTCTCCTCTGCATTCCTGTCTCTAACAATTGGCACCTGCGCCTCTGCCTGCCTTCACCTCCTTGTCTCCATCCTTGCAATGAATGCCGTAGTAAGGCTGCCTCTCCTTCTCCGGTGTCTTCACTCCGGCCATATTTTCTGAATTTTGTAGATCCTCCATACTGCAGCTACCCTAAACCCACTCTTCTGAGAAGCCCCAGTTCCCAGAACGGAAGCCCAGGGCAGCCCTCGGCCCCCACGTTTCCCTACTTACACAGCAGCTGCCTAAGAGTCTGTGAACCTGCACGATTTTCACAAGCAGTGTCTCAACAATCAACCAGTGCTTCACAAGTGGGGCAGATGGCATAGCCAGGAATGAGAATTTCATATTTCTTCTGATTCAAATGCATTCCTATCTAAAGGCTGTTTCCTTTTAGAGACAAACTAATTTTTTCTCTTTCGTCCTTTGCCTGGGTTTTATGTTTACTTCTATAGGCTGGCACTTCCAATGGTTTCTACAGAGCTCATTGGCACTCTCTCCCTCTCTCTCTCTCTCTGTCTCTCTCTCTCTCTCTCCCCCCCTCTTTCTCTCTCTCTCTCTCTCTCTCACACACACACACACACACACACATACACACACACTTACTATGTACACACCTCACAGGAAATGGACACTTGTTTCCATTATGGGCCCTGAAACAAAGCTCTGTGGATATGCATGTGCTACTCAGATTTTCTATCCCAGGAAATGAGTGTAAATATCTACCTCCCCCAGAATTTTTTTTCAGAGATGACAGACATTGAACAAGTGGAAGTCAAAACCCTCCTTGAATGTGGCTCTCGGGAGCTGGAAATCTCCATCGCTTCCCCATGGAAAGCTTTGCAGTGCAAAGTGGCTTATCTCCATGACAACCAGAGGAGCTGTGGTGTTTTTTTTTCCTGCTGGACATTTTCTCTAGTTTTTGCTTCATATGTAAAATAATTAAAATTAAAAGTGTTTATCTCAGCACACCACAACTAGTTGTTTACTGGGCCAGGGTCAGGAGCCAGCTCACATCGGTTTGGGGTCCCCTCCAACCACCTCCATGCTGTTAGTCTTCAAAGTTTGCAAAAGATTTGGTTTCTCTTTGAAATCCGGCTTCTCATGTGCTTACTGTATCACTTTAAATGGATTAATTGTTTAGTTCCTTATATATAAAGTTTTTCGCATGTAAAAATTTAAGATAATTCTACCTCAAGAAGAGCAGAGAAGATGTATTAGAGAATGTGTGAGAGATTGCCTGACAGAGCTGAACGCAGGGGAAGCATACACAGTATGAGTCTCTCTGCTTATTCTTTTCCTTAGCAGAGTCTCTGGCTGCAGGTTGCCGTGGCTGTCCCATCATCAGTTCCCAAATGGGAGGAATGCCGTGGTCTCTTGACAGAGGCTGTCCTGCATTGTTGGCGGCAAAGGCCTGCTGTCCTGTCAAAGATGGGTTGGCCCATTTATCCAGTTACTGGTGAAATATCTCGTTCTCTCAGAGAATCAACTGGCTGCTGCGTGCTGACTTCACAAAGGAAAATCCATTCTCTCACCAAGTAGTTGTCAAGCACAATAAAGAAAAACTGGCAGAATAACTGGGGTGGTTGCTGAGTCTAACTCAGTATCGTGTGAGAGAAAATATATGAAACAAGGTCTTTAAAGAGAACTGCACATCTCTGTCTGTATGGCAGGCTCAAACACAGCCAGTCAGACACACATAGAGTAAAAGTGAGGAAGTTGAGGTCGTTCAGACCACTGGTAGACCCAGAATTTGAGCCAAAACAGAAGTAGAAAACAGAAATAGATGCTTGGTGATCTGCCTCTCTGCCAAGCCAACCCAGCAATTCTCACCAAAAACCTCAACAAACAATTGGAACAGAAACAGGTAGAAATTGTGGTTCAATTTTAAGGTATCATTGTGTTTATTTGAAGCACTTTTTCCTTCAAAATGAAAATCATTTCTTTATTTTGTTAAAAATGTTGCAAAAACAACCAGAGGGAACAGTTTTATTGCTTTAGTTAAAATGTGATGAATACTTATTGTAAAACAATCAGAGCCTACAAAAGATAGAAAAAAGAAAACAAAAAAGATGAAAGAAGGAAAAGAATGAAAGAAAGGAAGAAAAAGATGAGAAGAAAACACATGAAAAGGATCAGAGTATGCCACCCCAAAATGTATTATTTTGGGATATTGATTATTTTGAGCTGAAAGCAATTGAGAAACAGCAGACCCAGGAAGAGCTCTCTGTCTTCCCACTTTCTATGTATACAAAAGGGGGGCACGCATTTTCTGTAGGAAAAGTGCTCTCTGGGTACCAGGAAGAGGAGAGATTTTTGGTGTCGGAGATGGGGAGTCAAAGCTGAGATGAATCCATACAAACAACTCTACTAACATTATATTTGCCTCCCATTAATTTTCACTATGTATTTCTTAGTCACTGTCCATGATTTGCCTCCCCAAACCCAAACCCCTTTCTTCTTCATCTAGCCATGTCTCCACAATTTTTCCTTATCTGTTAAAATGGTATATAGGTTCTCGGACCTTTTCATCTCTTTGAATTCTCATTTCTTACATATGAAAGGCCTCATATACACATAAACATATCGGTATCCAATAATGTTTGCATGCTTTTCCCCCATTAACCTGTCTTTTGTCTGTTTAATTCTCATGACCAGCCATAGAACCTAATAGGGTAGAGAAAAATTCTTTCCTCCCATGATTGGTAATACAGCCACTCAAGATAAACACTGTCCATTGGCTTTTGATTACTGACCACAATAACTTATATTCTCCAAAATCGCTAGTGAATTTGTTCAGCAATTAGCACATTGTTGAAGGCATTGAGAGTCATGAGAGCTTTGTCTGTTTATGGAACAGTCTTTAAGTAGAACTATTGTGTAGGGTACAAGAGGTTCCTAGAAGTGAGGTCAGAAGATAGAAGGGACAAGAAAATAAAGGAATTTATCCTAAACCTTTTAATTTTTTTTCCCTCATCTGCTGGGTGATACATAATGCAGAACTGGAATGTTTTAGAATGTTCAGAATTTAGAACGGTTCCAAGTTGTCAACCCAATTCTATAAAGACATGCAGGATACATAAGCGAACAGGAATAGATACCTATTTTGACTGGTATTCTAATGTGCTGAAGTGTGGAAGAAGCTCCAGTTTTTGCACTTGTTCAGATAGACCTGTCCATTGATATTCTAAGGAAAATGGTACCCATATGGGAGAATGGGCTCTGCTGTATCAGAAGGAGACAACATGGACTGATGGTTAAGAATTGGACTCTGGGCTGGGTGTGATGGCTCACGCCTGTAATCACAGCACTTTGGAAGGCCAAGGGAGGCAGATCATCTGAAGCCAGGAGTTTGAGACCAGCCTGGCCAACATGGTGAAAACCTGTCTCTACTAAAACTACAAAAAATTAGCCAGGTGTGATGGCCACTGCACCCCAGCCTAGCGACAAGAGTGAGACTTTGTCTCAAAAAACAAGCAAACAAAGAATTAAATTCTGCGGCCAGACTGCTCAGGTTTAACCTAGCTCTGTCACTAGGCTATGTGACCCTGAAGAAAAGATAGTCTTTTAATTTATCAGTTTGGGCAAACGTAAAATAGGTAAAATAGCAATTCATCCCTATTAATATTAGAAGGTAGTGTCTGTGCAGTAGCTCACTACTACAATCCCAGCACTTTAGGAAGCTAAAATGCGAGGATTCCTTGGGTCTAGGAGTTCAAGACCAGCCTGGGCATCAAAGTGAAATCTTGTCTGTACAAAAAAATTTTTTTTAAAATTAACCAAGTGTGGTGGTGCATGTCTGTGGTTCCAACTACATGGGACGCTGAGCTTGGAGGATTGCTTGAGCCCCAAAGGTCAAGGCTGCAGTGAGCCATGATCAAGTCATTGTACTCCAGCCTGGGCAACAGAGTGAGACCTTGTCTAAAAAAAAAAAAAAAAAAAGAATATGGTGTAAGTAAATTAACATAAAACGCTCAGAACCGGGCCTGGCACATGATAAATGTCATATAAAATGTTAGTTATTCTTATCTCTCTCCTCACCATCTTGCATCAAGGTTGGAAGAATTCTTAACCACTTTCTGTCTCACCATTTTATATGCTGCCATGCAAGGAGATGGTAAATACCCATTAGTCTGAAATAATTTAGAACTAGATATAATTTTGCTTGTAAAATCAGAAATTGGGCTAGGCGTTATGGCTCACGCCTGTAATCTCAGTACTTTGGGAGGCTGAGGTGATCAGATCACCTGAGGTCAGAAGTTTGAGACCAGTCTAGCCATCTCTACTAAAAATACAAAAAAAAAAAAAATTAGACAGGTGTGGTGGTGCATGTCTGCAATCCCAGCTACTCTGGAGGTTAAGGCAGGTGAATTGCTTGAATCTGGGAAGTGGAGGTTGCAGTGAGCCAAGATTATGCCATTGTACCCCAGCCTGGGCAACAGAGCAAGACTCTGTCTCAAAAACCAACCAACTAACCAAAAACGAAACCAGAAATTGGTCAAATATCCTCAGAGTTCTTAAAATTGAATGAGGTCATTGCATTTATTCCCTTGCTTGATCCACAGATATGCTCTGAATTTAATATTTTTCTTTTTGCTACTGTTTAGAAACAATGGTTATCTCTCAGGCATCCCTCGGCTAGTCCAGTGCTTCCTCCATTGTGAAGCATTTTTACAGAAGACAGCTCCATGGCTCCAGGACCCCTTTGATAGACTGACTGGATCCCCCTTCTTCCATGAAGTGATTGTTCTCTTCTTCCTCTGTGTCCCTCCACTTCCTTGCACAAGGTAGAAATTGTCAATATTAAATCTCACCTGCTGTGTGTCAACCTACTTAAATAGCTGATCTGCATCCTTGTTTGCTTGTGTCTGAGTAATCAGCATATTTTTCCCTTTTTCTTATTTTTTTTAAATGCAGAATCTATGGACATTAAAATAGATTAGTAATAGCCACAGCCATGCACTGACCATTGCTACAAAAACATACTTACCACCCTCAGGCTCTTCATGCTGAAGTGTCTTTCTCTTGCCTCTTATGCTGGGACTTCCTACTTCCCTACCCTAGCCCCTGTAGTGTTCAGATCAAATCATCCTTTATTAGGTGAAACTCTATTGAATACTTAAACTTTCAAGCCCATTTAGTATCCTTTGCTACCCCTCACCTGTGTCTGAAGTTACCGAGAGAAAATTGTCTTTTCATTTCTCATGTCTACGGTGCTTTTCCTTAAGTGTATTTTTTTCAAACTTGAGACCCACACTATATCCCAAATTTGTATCAGCAAAGAAACTACCTCTGAACTATCAAAGTTAATAAAAACAGCCATGCAATTTTTAAAAAAAATCAACATTGCTAATAAGGTTTCTATTTGAATACCTCTTTTAGGTGAAAATGTGGAAACCGCTTTATTTGAATTCCATAGCAAGTCTCAGTTCAGATGCTCCTCCACTTACCATGGGACTTTGAGATGGTTTGGATAGTTTGTTCTCTCCAAACTTCATGTTGAAACGTGATTCCTGACGTTGGAGGTGGGCCCTGGTGAGAGGCGTTTGTGTCATGGAGGTGGATCCTCATGGTACCATCCTCTTGCCAATGAGTAAGTTCTCCCTGTGTTTGTTAATGTGAGAGCTGATTGTTAAAAAGAGCCTGGCACCTCCTTCTCCTTCTCTGGCTCCCTCTCTCATGATGTAATATGCTGGCTCCCCATTTACCTTCTGTCGTGATTGGAAGCTTCCTGAGGCTTCACCAGGAGCAAATGCTGGTGCCATGCTTCCTGTACAGCCTGCAGAACCAGGAGCCAAAATAAACCACTTTTCTTTATAAATTGCCCAGTGTCAAGTACTACTTTATAGTAATGTAAATGGAAAAACACAGGCTCTGTCCCAATAAACCCATCTGAAGTTGAAAGTATCATCACTTGAAAATGCACTTAATACACCTAACCTATCAAGTATCATAGCTTAAGCTAACTTTCCTTAAATGCGCTTGGAACATTTACAGGAGCCTACAGTTCGGCAAAATCATCTAACACAAAGCCTAATTTTTATAATAAAGTATTGAATATCTCATGTTATTTATTAAATACTGTAGCGAAACTGAAAAACTAAATGGTCACCTGGGTACTCACCATTAACACACACAGCTGAAAGCACACTGGGCCTGAAAAACGTTTGAAACATCGAACTAAAACCAGATTGATGGGATGCTGCAGCCACAGTGTTGTCAATCGCTCTCTGCTGATGAGGCTTAAGAATGGCTGGAGAGGCACTGGGGTAGCCACACGGGATGGGTTAGCAGGCATGCTATTCTTTAAGAAGATGTCAAGTATCAGTATTTTACCCTCATGATCCAGTGGCTGACTGGGAGCTGAAGCTCAGCACTGAGAGAACACAGTGCTACAGCTACATACCACTACCCTGGGGAAAGATCAAAATTAGAAATTTGAAATATGCTTTCTACTAAATACTTATCTTTTTCACAGCATCATAAAATCAAATAATCCAAGTTGAACCACTGCTGCAGATTTTAGTGTCCACAGGAGTCCTGGAACCAATTCTCCACTAATACTGAGGTAAGACTGTGTCTGTTCAGTGGGTAAATATTATTCAATTGAATTATTTTCTTCTTGCTTTGCAGAATGACAAATATAATAGAATGTGTTATTTGTCCCTTCTGTAGTGGGCATACTTAAATTTTGTGCTACTATGCACAACATACATTTTTAGGTATCAGCTAGAGAATCAAGTTTAATAATTTTGAAAAGACTACAGTCAATGCTAACTTCCACTCATCTTTTAAATTTCAGCTTACAATGTCACTTTTTCAGGAAAACCTCCCTAACCCAAGCTTAGGTTATGTGGCTTAATTGCAATCCTACAAAACTCCATCTTTGTCCTTCATGCATAATTAAATTTTTAATTAAATATTTCAAGTCTTTACTTGTCTAATGCCTAGCTCTATTCTAGATGGTAAGCTCCGTGAATGCAGGGTCTCACTCACCAGTGCTTAGCAGAGGGCAAAGTCTTTGTAGGTCATTTTTAAGCCTTCGTTGAATAGATGTAGGCATTCATGAATGAATGGACGGGTAAGTGAATGGTCACAACAGATCTGTAGCAGAATTTCTGGAATCACCCTTGGATAATTATTTGGGGAGCATAACTGCTACAGTTTGAATGTGTGTCTTCTCTGAAACTCATGTTAAAACTTAATGCCCGATGTAACAGTATTAAGAGGTAGGGCCTTCAAGAGGTGGTTAATAGATTAATCTATTCATGGATTAATGGGTTAGTTGTTACCAGAGAGTCTGTTATAGAAGCCAGTTTGGGTCCCTCTCCTGCACGCCCTATTGCCCTGTTATAGGCAATGTTATTGCCTTCCACCATGTAATGATGCAGCCTGAAGCCCTCACTAGAATGTACTACCTGACCTTGGACTTCCCAGCCTCTAGAACTGAAAGAAATAAATGTGTTTTCTTTGTAAATTGCCAGTCTGTGCAACAGAAATGAACAAATACAATAACTGATTATCTTCTCAAAGAGATGCAAGCATTATCAATCTTTAAACTCTTCTAGTTTTCAGAGTCCCTAATTAGGATGAAGAATTTTGAACTTCTAGCTCAATTAATTAAACAGTTCCACATACGCTTTTCTTTCCTCCCAGAGAAGGATTATAGAGGAACACACAGATGGTGCCTGAGGAATTCTCTTCTACTATCACATTCCCCAAACCATATCCTTCCCACTAAGCCAGCTAAAGTCTTCTAGAATCCAGCATATTTTTGCAAGTGCTTCAAGCCTCCTGAGAATTGACTTATTTGACTTAATTGGCTCCATTGACTTAGAATGACAAACTCAGAAGTCTCATGTCAATCAGATTCTAACTGAGTCCCAGGAAGCCTAGGTTCTTATTCTTCAGAATACAAATGATAATGACAGGAATAACACTGCTCTCTTGGGCATTGGTAAACACTGCTTTTCATATTCTAGGTACTTTCTATTTCTCTCTCTCTCTCTCTCTCTCTGTGTGTGTGTGTGTGTGTGTGTGAGAGAGAGAGAGAGAGAGAGAGAGAGAGAAAGAGAGAGAGAGAGAGAGACAGAAAGAGAGAGAAAGAGAGAGAGAGATGTCACATGGTAACAAATGGGATGGAGATAAATGAGGGTGGCCAGGGAGGTTGTACTGATAAGTGAAACATAGATAGAGACTTGAGAACCTGGAAGAAGGAACCATGGAGATACCCAATTAAAAGAATTAGGTAAACAGGCCAAGCCTGGTCTCCTTGAAACAGCAATAGGGGGAATAGGATGGCTGCCCCCAAATAGTGCTGGGGGTATCCCGCTAAATGCTGCCTTATCTCCCAGAAGGCCAAATTAATTCTGCTTCTTCATCTTTTAGGTTTATACCCTAGGGGCTGTGGAGAGAGGCCCATCTCCTTGGCTCTAGGGAGGGGAAGGGCAGTGCAGATCTGTACCTTTGCTGCACATTGGAATATCCTACGAGTAAAGTTGTGATGCTCAGGTTGCACACCCCCTACCCCCATACTAATTAAAGCAGAACCTCTGAGGGTGAGACCTAGAAATCAGTTTTCAAAACCTCTCCAGGAGAACCCAATGTCAAGTGGATGTGCTGGAGTCTACATATACCAGCTCCCAGGGCAGACAGTGTGTACTCTTCCAGGGACAGAATAAGGATACATCTGGCCTTTAACCTAGTTCTTGATACATAGCTTCAAAAACCCTTGGAATTTCCTGAGTGACAGCCATGTCTTTTGTTATTCATAATAAGCCCCTTTAGACCATACCTGGGTTTATACTAATGAGGTGACTCCTGATGGGCTCTTAGTTGAGGGGCAAGGAGGCAGATCGGGGGTAAGAGAGGTGTGGGAGGCAAACCAGAAAGACCTCATATGTGACTGGAGTGTTGGAATTTTCAGCCACATCCATGGCCTCTGGTGAGGGGAGAGGAACTGGAAATTGCATTAAATCAAATGACCAATGACATAATCAATCATGCCTATGTAATGACATTCCGTATAAAAACTCTGGATACCAAAGTCCAGGGGGACTTTCTGACTGGTGAACATTAGTTATATAGGGAGGGCAGCACACTTTGCATGGGAACAGAAGCCCCTGTGCTTGGGGTCTTCCTTGACTTTGGGCTATGTACCTGTTTATCTGGCTGTTCATTTGTGTTTTTTATAGTAAAACAGCAGCCATCAGTATAGCATTTTCCTCAGTTCTACAAGTCATTCTCGTAAATTATCAAACCTGAGAAGGAATAAAAAGTTCCAAATTTGTAGTCAGCTGAGCAGAAGTGCAGGTGACTTGGGGATGTCTGAAATGTACGTCTGCCTTCCAAAGTGGGGACAGCCTCTTGAAGAACTTTGCCCTTAACTTATAGGGTCCACATGAACTCCAGGAAGTCAGTGTCAGAACTGAATCAAATTTCAAGACACTCAGTCAGTGCTAGAGAATTGGCTTTAGAATGTTTTCCAGCTCTGTGTTCAGTAATCTCACGTTGGCAGCTTGAAATCAGCCAGGGTAAGAATATTTACACCATGGAAATAGGCAAATGCTACAAATCAAAGCTTCTTGTCCCTCTGCCCCTGAAAACTGGTTATTAAACGTTTATCAGCACACTGCTTTTCTAGAACCAGTGGCCTACGTCATTAGGTGCTGATTAGGAAAGGCTAGAAAGATCTCATAAGGGACAGAGTCTGAACCTGCTGAGAACTCTTCCCATTGCACACCTATGCAGAGTAGGCTGAGGGGAACTCCTTCCTTTCTGAAATCCCTCCATACATTCCCACTTCCACATAAGCCATGTCCAACCTATGTACTGCACTAACCTGTCACTAGGTAAAATTCTTCTTAAGGAAGAACACAACCTCGTTGCTTAACAAATCAGGGGGAAGCCATGCTTCCTTCTTTATGTTAATTCTTTGTGTTCATTTTTCATTTGCCTCTCTTATTCCTTTTGAATTGTTTAATTTATTGCAAATTTTTAGTAATAGATAGGTCCTCTTCACATATTAGCCTCAGGTTGCTTCAAATCCCTTTCTGGGAACTCACAGAGAAGTTCCCTTTTTTCAGTCTTCAGGAAATTCACTTAAATGTTATGAGTTTTCTGAGATGATTAATCCACCAGCACAATTCCCATCTGAAACTCTCTCCTTCCCCTCTATTCACTCTTCAAATTTTGTTCTAATTTGCTTAATATTTCTGCCTTCCTGACCCATAATTCATGTAAGAGCGTGAACACACATGCATTATCCCAGGAAACCACTGTGTGGGAATTCACTGACCCTTTCAAATCCATTTTTTCACTCTTCATTTTAAAATTGAGGTTCAGCTATTCCCCTGCTATTCGAATTTAGGATTTAGTTGCATACTTAGGGGATGTAGTTGAAATCTTTGCAATATATTTGCAGGAATTGACTCACCTGAAATAATGAACCACACCAAGAATTTAATTAGGGCCTTCAGGATGGAGAATCAGGAACAGGAGCTGAGAGATATGGAGGCTTAGAAAGTCAGTTTAAATCTGGAATGGTGGCACCCACCTGTGGTCCCTGTGACTTGGGCAGCTGAGGTGGGAGGATCAGTTGAGCCCAGGAGTTCGAGGCTCCAGGGAGCTCTGACTGCACGACTGAACTTTGGCCTGAGTGACAGAGTGAGACCTTGTCTCTAAAAACCAATTTTAAAAAGTTTATTTCAAGGTAATATGTGATATGTGACTTCATAAAAGAATAGCCCCCTTACACACACACACACACACACACACACACACACACACACACACACACAGTCACTCTCTCTCTCACTTCTTCTTGCAATTCCTTGTGCTAGAGTAAGCTAGACTATACCTGGCACAGAATCCCCCCAGTCAATTTCTTAAAATTTTACTCCATATGCAAT